ATGGATCGAAACCACATACTGCTAGCCTCGGAAAATACTAGGGCGTCCCCCGTATGCGACGCGCATCGTCAGCCCCGGGACGGTGTGAGAAATATGCAACGGGTTCCGTGGGCCCAGCGGCGACAGTTAAAGAAGCGAGCTGGAGAATGGAGATGTGCCACTTGGAACATCGGCACAATGACTGGAAGAAGTAGGGAGATAGCAGAGACCTTGAAGCAGAGAAAAGTGAAAATACTCTGTGTGCAAGAAGTAAGGTGGAGGGGCAGCGGAGTAAGGGAGATCGGAGAAGGTTATAAGCTATACTACTCCGGAAACAGAACGGGAAGAAACGGCGTGGGTATTATCGTCGATAAAGAGCTCAAACAAAGGGTGGTGGAAGTCCAAAGGCCCTCAGACAGGTTGATGACAATAAAGGTGCTAGCAGGAAAGAATCTGATTAACATCGTGAGTGGTTATACTCCACAGATTGGCTGTGAAGATCAAGAGAAGGAAGACTTCAGAGAACAACTTGAATAGAGTATTAAAGAGATCCCTGAGGAAGAAGAAATCATCCTAGGAGCTGATCTGAACTGCCATGTAGGAGAAATAGCAGGTTATGAAGCATGTCATGGCAGTTTTGGATACAGCCCAAGAAACGAGGAAGATGAGAGAATGCTAGAGACATTGGAGAGCTTGGAACTGGTCTTGGTAAACACCGGATTCAAGAAGAGAGATGAGCATCTAACAACATACCGAAGGGGAGATAGCAGTTTCCAGATAGACTTCCTAGTGGTGAGGAAGAGAACCCATAAAAACGTGAGAGATGCAAAAGTGATTCCTGGAGAGGCTGTTGCTCACCAGCACAGACTGCTGGTCATGGATGGGACGTTCTCTAAGAAAAAGAAAGGAGAAACAACAGGAAAGGAGCTGCAGAAGATCAAGGTGTGGAAACTACGGGAATGTGCAGGTGAATACAAAAGGCAAGTAGGAGAGAGACTGAAGAGAGTGAAGAGAGAGATAGCAGCTGAAATGTGGAAGGCCTTGAAGGAAGCAATGGTGGAAGTGGCAGGAAAGTTGTGTGGAAGAACAAGTGGGAGAGGAGCAGGAGAACGAGAAACATGGTGGCGTACAGAAGAGGTGCAGGAGAAAATCAAGGAAAAGTAGAAAGCTTTCAAGAAGTGGCAGGATGACAAGAAGAGCCTGGAGGAAAGGAACCGGTACAAAGTGGCGAAGAGAGAGACAAAAAGGGCTGTGGCAGTAGCCAAAGAGGAAGCAGTTCAGGACTGGTATGTAGAGATGGAAACACCAGAGGGAGAAAAGAGAATTTATAAAGTGGCCAAGCAGCGTGCAAGAGCAAAGAGAGACATCCCAAAAGTGACTGTGGTGAAGAGCTAGGACGGACAAATTCTGGCAGAGAAGGAAGAAGTGCTAAGGAGATGGAGAGAATATTTTGAACACCTGTTGAATGTAGAGAATGAATGGGAAGAGCTAACAGAACTACCAGCAGTGGAAGGTCTGATACAGCAAGTAAGCCTGCAGGAGGTGTCAGCCGTCCTCAAGAAGATGAAGATGAACAAATCAGCAGGCACATCGGAGGTGGTGGTAGAGATGTTGGATGCCTTGGGGAGTGAAGGTGCAATTTGGACCCATGAGATCTTTGAAAAGATTTGGAATGGAGAGGACATCCCAGAAGACTGGAGAACAAGTATACTAGTGCCAGTGTATAAACAGAAAGGCGATGTATTAGAATGTGGGAACCACCGTGGTATCAAGCTCTTGGAACACCTCTTGAAAGTTGAGTAAAAGATCCTGGACCAGAAGATCCGAGAAGTGGTGGATATAGGAAACATGCAGTTTGGCTTTAGACCGGGGAGAGGCATGACAGATGCTGTATTTATACTCAGGCAGCTCCAAGAGAAACATCTGGAAGGCAGCAAGAACCTATACCATGCTTTTGTTGACTTAGAAAAGGCATATGATAGAGAGCTGGTCAACTGGTGTCTACGGAAGAAAGGAGTTCCAGAGTACCTCATTAACATCGTGAAGGATACCTACGAAAGTGTAACCACAATGGTCAGAGCGCCACAGGGAACATCAGAAGAATTTGAAGTGAAAGGTCGGCCTTCACCAAGGATCAAGCCTGAGTCCACTTCTGTTCATCATAGTTATCGACGTGGTGAGCGAGGAGTGTGGAGGAGGATTGCTCTGGGAAATGTTGTTCGCCGACGACTTGTTCATTTCATCGACGTGTAAAAAGAACTTGGAAGCACAGCTCAGGAATTGGAAGAAGTACGACCAAGTTGATGAGTTCAAGTATCTCAGCAGCACGATGGCAAGTGAAGGAGGATGTGAGAGAGTAGTGAAAGACCGTGTGAAGGCAGCGTGGGCCAAGTGGCGAGAGGTTTCTGCCGTGATGCGCGACAAAAAGTTACCAGCCAAGCTGAAGACGAAAATGTACAAAGCTGTGATAAGACCTGTGTTATTGTACAGGGCAGAAACTTAGGCCTTAAGAAAGAAAGAGAGCCTGCTGCAGAGAACGGAAATGAGAATGCTGAGGTGGATGTTGGGAATCAGTCTAAGAGAGCAGAGAACAAACGAATAGGTGTTAGCTGAAGCAGGAGTCACAAGCATTAGTAGCAAGATCGAAGAGGCAAGACTCACATGGCCATGTGAAAAGAAGGCATACGGAAAGCGATGGATCTGCCTATTCCTGGAAAGCGGAGCAGAGGAAGACAAAGAAAGAGGTGGCTGGATTGTGTGATGGCCGACATGAAGAAAAGGAACATCGAAGAGCAGTGGGCACAAGACCGAAAGAAGTGGAGAAAAGCAGTATGTGGAAAGTGACAACCCCTAATTAAGGGAAACGTCGTAGAAGAAGAATACACGCATATTATAGGAAGATAAATATGTGGGGTTATGGGGAGATTATATAATAGTTTACAATAATTGGATGGATAAAAGTTTCATTTGATCTCGACTTCAAAAATGTGCAGTAACAATAGCAATAACAATAAACAAAACAAAACAATAATGATAATAAAAGTAATAATAATGATGATAATAATAGTAATAATAATAAAAGTAATAATAATGATGATAATAATAGTAACAATAATAATGATGATAATAATAATAATGATGATAATAATAGTAACAATAATAATGATGATAATAATAATAATAATGATAATAAACTAGTGAAATTGCAAATTCATTTGCTATCACAATTCCGTCATTTCTGTTTTCATAATTGCCACATTTATCGTCAATATCATTTATATCTGCCATCATCAATCATTTAAATTACTTTTTGTATATTCTTAAAACCTTTTATAATTCTTTTCTCCTCCTTTTCTTTTCCATTTCCTTTCTTTCCCTTTTTACTTTCTATTATATTGAACTTCCGTATAAACCCAGAAAAAGCTCTTCGGCCTAATAATAAAGTTTAAGAATAAAAAAATAATATTTTGTAAAGCAGAGGAGGGAGTATATAAGAATGAAAGGAGAGGTGACGCGGGGAAGGGGAAGACAGGTATATATAGGTAGCTGGATAGATAGACTGAGAGAAAAATAGAGACAGGCAGGCAGACAGACAGACAGAGATTACATGAGAAGAGATTATAAATAAATCGCACCCTTACTCTAAACTTGCACAAACTTGTTAGGATCTGGATATGGAATTGAATAGGAAGGCTATAGTTAACCTCCCAATGCGTAAGCTCCAACAAGTCTGGCTGTGTAAGAGCGACATCAAAGAGAGAGGGAAAGAGAGGGAGGCGGATAGAGAGAGGGAGGAAGGAGAAAGGGAAGGAGGCTGAGAGAGAGAGAGAATGAACGTGTATGTGTGTGTGTGTGTGAGAGAGAGAGAGAGAGAGAGAGAGAGACTGAGAATGGGTGAGAGAGAGAGAAATAAAATATGAAATACTGATAAACAAAAGAGAAAAAACAGCAATATCGCAAAACTTAAGATAATATACTGTGATGGTAACACTTAAAATTACATATGACTATTTCACACTGTCAAGGAAACTACACTCATAATTTCATTAGTACTATATTTCCCCACGACCTATGTCTCAAGAATATTCGACCGTTTTACATGATTAATTATGCCAGTCCATCGTCTTTTAAGATTATCACTTACACTTTTATAATTATTATTACTTTTTTTCTGTTATTGTCTTTTTGTAATGTATGAAATATCCTTCTGCTTTCATTACATCAATCATCTGGCTGTTTTCGTCATACTGACTTATGATTGTCTGTCCACTTATTGTATACTAAGGAGAACTATGGCTCCCTGGGACAGTAATAAAGTGAACAATAGGCCTCTTCAGCAACGCCAACCCAACTGTTAACGAAAAGGCTTAGCAGTTCGGCGAGCTGTTATGGTTATGCTGCCAGTTCTAAGTTTGACGTCATTCTTATAGTTCCAGCCATCGTCTGTAATGCGGCTGAGGAGAGCACATTCAACTTAAAGTGTCTTTGGTAGAGTACAAACTCCCAATGTGTTGGTACTTTGGCTGATGACGTCATTAATCCTCATAAATTCTGATTGGCTGGTGAATGTACTGCCAGGTATAAGGCGGATTAGGGGGGAAACTATCGAACACCTCATTCCACACAGTGCACTCAGTATTAACAACGGCCGCTCTAATTGTCCAGAGACTCACTCTCTGTTTCTCTCTCTTTTGCTCTCCCTCTCTCACTCACTCTCTCTTGTCCTCTCTATCTATCTCTCATTCTCTCTCTCCCTTTAGCTTTCCCTTCCCCTAACCCCCCCCCCCTCTCTCTCTCTCTCTCATTCTCTCACTCTCACTCTCACTCTCACTCTCTTCTCTCTCTCTCTTCTCTCTCTCTCTCTCTCTCTCTCTCTCTCTCTCTCTCTCTCTCTCTCTCTCTCTCTCTCTCTCTCTCTCTCTCTCACTCACCCTAACGCTCTCACTCCCTCTCTTTCTCTCTCTATCTCGCATTCTCTCTCTCTTGTCCCCTTTCTATGTATCTCATTCTCTCTCTCTGCCTCTGTCTCTCTCTTGCACACATCCACCTTCCCCTCTTTCCCGAGAGAGTTAATACCATATCAAATATGCGCCTTTGCATGGAAATAAAGACAGGACATTTCCTTTTAACTCTATACAGATAAGCATAGAAGCATAAAGTACACGCGCAGTCATAGCTGGTGTTTTTTGTAGATTTGTATCAGTAATAACATACATTTTTTGTTATCGTATCAGTTTCATATGAACATGTTTACTTAACGTCATTCACTTTCCAAAATTTATCTTAAATGTTATAATATACGTGCTTATCAAAGACATATTACATGTTCAAACTTTATACAAACACACGTTATTGACAATATACAAAATCAAAGAAAGCAACTGAGACCGTTTGTTTGAGAGGAAAAGTTACCAGATATTTCTAACGACTCTATCAACAACGAAATTAATCTCTGTATTCACAGTCTATTTCTTTGATCTCTGGATACAGAATAATCTGGAAATATATTTAATACATTTCCGTTCCGTCGTTCTGGT